GCCAGACAGACAGAGAGAGACAGACAGACAGACAGAAAGTGAGAAATCACCCCCCAGGGGGGATGGCTACGCCGCAATCCCTTCTCCTCCATTCTCTCGGGATCTTGGGCATGCATGCACACGCGCCCGATGTGAGTTTAAGTCACCGGGTCCGGGACGCGAACCGTGGTTGACTACGTGGGAGTCCAGTGACATAGCCATTATGCTAACTGCTGGTCCCAAGGTGTGAACCTTAAGAAGGAAAAGCTCTGCTTGAAAATGGTGCTGTTTCTCAGGCGCCACACCTTTCCCAGAGTTCCGCTCATCTTTTGCTGCTGCGGCCACTGACTGCAAACTGAGGATCGGCCCTGGCAGCGGCGATCCCTGAGTGTCTGAAAACACTGCAGGAACGGCCTTGATCAGGTCCAGTCTGTCTCCTTCTCTTCTGAACTTTCCATAACAGTTACACTTCTTCAAGGCCCATCTCAAAAGCTTCCAACTGAAATGTAACTTTTTTGTTCAACAGACATAACTCATCATTTTTTTCCATTGTGCTTTCATAGCCCTTTTTGCTTAGTCATTTTTACATGGGTCTTTTAGTTTTTATACATTTCGAGCGCTTTGAAAGTTGGTGCTTGGTTTTATTCCTCTTTTGTGTCATGCACTTCCCACTGTAGATGACACATGATTTAGTGACCCATAAATAGTTGAATCGGAACGCCTTTAGAAACTTTCCTTTTGGGACCAGCAGATAGTGTGATAGTTACGCCTCTGGACTCCTACATGGCCAACCACAGTTCGAGTCCCAGACCTGGTGGCTTAAAACTCAGGTCAAGTGCATGTGTGTACCTGCCCAAGATCCAGAGAGGAGAATGGAAGAGGAGGGATTGCGGCATGGTCATCCTCCCTAGGGAGTGATTTCTTGCCTTCTGTCTATTGGTAGCATACCCTACCAATACGTTGGTATTTGGTATACCAAATATATTTTTGGTCAAAGTATTGGGTCACCAGGAAAGTCATGATGAATTTTTTGCATAGGAAAACAGAAAGATACATGACTTTCCCAAAGACCCGGTAGCTAAGCTTCAGAAGGTAACCAACCACCTCGAAGAGCAACACTTCTATGGAAGTACAGATCCAGATCATTAAAGGAGGTCTAGGCCAGCCCCGATGGAGCAGAGCTGGCATCGTTGCTCAGGTTTGGTTCTTGGGCCATCTGAACATGCTGGGTATCATTTTGTGAACATGTAAGCATAGCAAATTGGGAAGGTGAGACAGGATCGCAACACAGCGAATTCCTGTCAAAAATATCTGCCCCTTCTCTCCCTCCCTGTTTCTCTCACAGAGGGAAAAAAGTCTCTTATTTTCATATTCAAAGTCAAAATTCATAGTGCATATCATCCATTTTGCTTATGGCTTTTCTTGGAAAATTTGCTTTAATTGTGTTGCACTTTATAAAAATGAGTTGTTCATCCCAAGCACAAACAATATTATGAACTGGCAATAATGACTCAGAGTAGAAAAGTTCGATACAAGTTAAATATATGTAGCTTTTGATATATCTTTGGCTCAAATTCAATTCTTCAAACCTTATATACTGTCGATTTGTTGATGGATCAATAGATTTGCTAAGCATTATCACTTCCTTTGGACTGGAATCCATGGCGTTCTCAAAAACAGTTCATTATAGCAGTGTTATGAGGATTATAGGAGTTAATAGGTAAGGGCGCTGGAATGGATGGGAGCCCTGAAAATTTAAAACCTAAACCAACTCCAAAACAAAGATTTCACTTAACTTGTTTCATTTGACAGCAGAACTTGATCATGGCAAAAGATGACCCAAAGATGACATACAGCTATTTACAGTTGCTTTCAAAACGTTTGTTCTGCTACGGAATGCTGGTCCAGACACCAGCAGGGATGTCAACAGACTTAAAATACACCATTATCCTTCTAAACTCCAAATGCAGAAGTACATCTGGTCCTAACGATTAAAAGTAGAAGACTGAATCTAAATGATCATCCTTACATGGGACGAAGAGGAACATCTGTTACTTGGAAACCTGAGTGGGCATGGGCAACTAGGATGGGTGGCATGGGAAGATCAACACCCATGTCGTGGGACAGCAGATAAGAGACCAACTCAGATGCCCAGGTGATAAGTTTCTGACCTTCTGCAGGGACTGGAAAAGGAAGGTTTAAGATGTTTCAAGGCTTTGCTAGGTCACACACAGCTCAGGGTATGGTGGAATGAGTATTAAAAGCCCATTTTTTTGTTTTTCTTTTAAAACTTGCAATTTGGTAACTTGGTATAAAAGACATTTATTGAACAAACAGGTGAGTTGAAAATGTGGTCTCTAACTATTCAGGTCCCTTTGCAGAGTGTTGGAGGATTCCTATTATACCTGAGGTCATGTTCTGATCAGTTAACTTTGTAGAAGGCTGAGTCGATGACGATGTAATTTGGAAATATTTGTATAATTTAGTTTTATCAAAGTTGTTCTTATTTACAATAAAATTGAGGGAGCAATTAACAACCTCACGTTTACCAATGCGACTGGGGCCGGAACAGCTTCCCCAAAGAGGAGCAAAGTGTGTCTTGCGTGTGGCCTCTGGGCACTTCCTGTCTGGCTTAGCCAATGACTTCCCTACCCAGGAAATCTTCACTCCAAGTATTTCTTCATATCCAAGAAACCTACCTCTTCAGAAGCAAAAAGTTTACTTTTTAAAAGAAGCATAGCAAAGAAAAGTACACTAATCCCCCTGACCATCCTTCACAGTCATGGAAGATAAAGCTTGAACAAGCATATCACGGCAGCCATGTGCCGAGGGCCTCTCCCATTCCGGACACTGAGCTCTGCAATCTCATTTAACTCTCACGAGAACCCAAACGGCAACCACTGCTTGTTCCCTTTTACGGAATGTGAAATGGGCTGAGATTAAATTCCCCAGCGAGTGAATGATAGAAAAGAATCCTTATTTTAGGACTCAAAAGTATGTTTTTACCTGTTGTCCTGCCTCGAAATCTGGAGGGTGCCACTCTTGCATCCAGTCTCACTGCCAATGCTCCTGTGCTGTGTGTTCTCTCAAACCCAGGTAAGATGTTTGGCTGCCAACTCCCGTAAACTACAAAGGGACTAGGTCTTGCTTCTAAATGGTCCATTTATTTAGAAGTTTATGTGTGACGCTCCCTTCTTAAAGAGCTAATTTTATTCTGTACTACCCTAATTTAGTTGCTCTTGACATCAATTATGTTATTGAACCACGAAGAGTTGCCTGAAGGTTGAGTTTAGACTAGGAGCCAGGAACTAAAGTTCTTGTCGCAGGTCTGTTTCTCAAAAGGCACTGCAATTTACCTCCCTATAAAAACAGACCCAAAAAGGCCAATAGGTAGAATTCTTACAGAGGTGATGACAACATTCTAAACTGAGATGATGGAGATGGCTGTGGAATTCTGTCAATATACCAAACCCTGAATCTGTACACTTTAAATGGACAATAGATACATGCATTTTTTAAAAAAATTCTGTGACAAGGCACATGAGCTTGAAGAGACAGAAAGAGAGAAAGCAATAGAAAAGTCATCCTCCATGGGGCACAGTCATGCCCCAATCCTGTCTACTCAATTTCTCCTTCCTATTGGGGTTTGGGCATACATGCACACAGACGTGGTTGGAATGTTTCCAAGATGCTGGGTTCAGCACTCGGCCGTACAGTTGGTCACATAGGATCCAGCTGCCTTAACCACCAGAACGTACAGCTGGTCACATAGGATCCAGCTGCCTTAAGCACCATACCACCAGCTACTCCCTATAAATTATATCTTTAGTAAAGTGTTTTAAAAAAGGACAGAGAGACCAGCAGTTAGTGTAATGGCTATGTTGCTGGACTCCCACGTAGTCGACTGCGGTTCGAGTCCCGGATTCGGTGGCTTAAACTCATGCCGGGCGCGTGTGCGTGCGTGCCCAAGATCCTGAGAGGAGAACGGAGGAGAAGGGATTGCGGCGTGGCCATCCCCCCTGGGGGGTGATTTCTCGCTTTCTGTCTCTCTGTCTCTCTCTGTCTGGCGAGCGCACGCGCCCTATAGCAAAAATCTCTCCCCCAAAAAACCAAAAAGGACAGAGAAGAGCCAGCCTATGACCTGGTGGTTAGGAGAGCCAAATCCCACATAGCTGACCATGTGGTTCGAGTCCCAGCCCTGGCAGCTTAAGAGACATGCCTTCCTGGGACCAGTAGTTGGTGTAATGGTTATGTCGCTGGACTCCCCTGTAGTCGACTGCGGTTCGAGTCCCGGATCCGGTGGCTTAAATTCACACCGGGCACGTGTGCATGCGAGCCCAAGATCCCGAGAGAAGAATGGAGAAGAAGGGATTGCAGCGTGGCCATCCCCCTGGGGGCTGATTTGTCACTTTCTGTCTCTCTGTCTCTCTCTGTCTCTCTGGTGAGTGCACGCACCCTATAGCAAAAACCTCTCCAAAAAAAAAAAGAAAAAAAAAAAAAAGAGAGAGACATGCCAGTCCACATGACCATGCATGCCCTAAATTGTAACAGGATAGAGAAATGGACAAGGGGACTGCAGCGTGACCCCCACTGGGGGGTGCTTTCTCTGTGTGTGGCAATAAAGAAAAACAAACAAACAAACAGAAAAGATTTGATTGCTCAAGCTTCAATTACCTAAGAAGAAACTAAGAAAAAAAATAATTTTAACATCTCGTTTTTCTTCTGTATTTGCCACAAATGTCAACTTGCTTGATCTCTATTACTGAAGTATTAAACAACAGAAGCAAACTTCATGTAAACATTATAAACATCTAGACTTATAAGTAAAATTAGACAATGGTCACACTCTACAAAATGATGAGTCATGGGCCTCCTTTAAATAAGACTTGTATAATAGAAACACTGAATACAGATGAGAGTTCACTCATAAATCATTTTAGAAACCCACTCAATGTTCAGAGCAGGAGTTTCAAACACAATTTTCAAAAATTCCTCATATCAGGAACATAAAAACTATTTACCTTGTGACAAGGAACCAAGCAATTTCACTGAAGTCTGGAGAGGGCCTCATGTATGTCTTGATATGTGGCATGGCATTGCTGCGGCCAGAAGTCTCGGCTGACCATTTGCTAGTCACAGGAAAGACGCAAATCATCGGTTAGAAAATAATACAAGTTAGGGGATGGCAGATGGCTGCTGGTTAAGGATGCTGGACTCCCACATGGCCCACCGTGGTTCGAGTCCTGGACCTGGTGGCTTTCTCTCTTTCTCTCCCTGCTTTGGTCAAATTAAAATAGATCAATAAAGTTAAAATAATTTTTAAAAATATATAATACAAGTTGGCCATAATCCTAATGTTAGAAAACTGAAGAGAAAACAGAGGCCAATCATCTAAAAGACAGTAGTAGGTACACAGTTCTGTGACCCATGATATTTTATTAAATTGTTCCGATAAAGGGATAAAGGGATGAATACGTATTCATTTTAGAAAGTAGGTTTACAGAAAAAGAGAATTTATCACTCCACAGAGCAGCACTATGACTTTCTGGTATATAGCCTTTCTGCCTTTTTCTTTTCTTTTTTTTTTGCCAGACTGCACATGTACTCATCAGAGACAGAAAGAAGGGAGAGAAAAAAAGCAGCACCCCAGTGGACATAGTCACACTGCAATCCCTTCTCCATTTGTCCACCCTGTCAGGATTTGGGGCACACATGTACACATGCCTTGTGTGTTTTTCCAACCCACTGGGGCTGGGATTCGAACTGTGTTGGCCATGTGGGATCCAGCTTCTTAACTACTAGACCATGAGGCTGACCCCCTTCCTGTCTTTTTTGCTACAAATATACACACATGCTACACTAGGGTACTTTTTAAAGGTCATAGAAAATGGAATCCAAGTGTGAGTTTATTTTGGTGTAAAACACTTGAAATTCGTGCACTGTTTTTTTCTTCTTCTTCTTTTTTTTTTTTTTTTTTTATGTTTTTGCCATAGGGTGAGTGCACTTGCTGGAGAGCGAGAGAGTCAGAGAGAAGGATAGTGAGAAATCACCCCCTGGGAGGGATGGCCACACTGCAATCCCTTCCCTTGTGCTCTCCTTCTAGGATTTTAGGGATGCACACACACATGCCCGGTGTGATATTCAAGCCGCCAAGTCCGGTACTCAAACTGTGGTTGGCCACGTGGGACTCCAGCGCCTTAATCATGATGCCACCTGCTGGCCCCTATGCAGTATTTCCCATCACAAATTTTTTGAAGAGTCCCCGTACATGATCCCTCGTGTACTTTTAGCCACACGTGTGCACTCGTCTCCACTGGTCTGTGAGCTTGTGAAAAGCACACAAACCTGCGCATGACCAAGTACGGGCTCAAGGAAAACTCGCTGAATTAAACGAAACACAAGGTGGGCAAAATGCACACACTCTTATGAGAAAATGAACATGCGAAACTGGGAGTGGGTGGGAAATACCTTGGTCAAATGCAGATATTCACACATATGAGTTTAGTTTCCAATTTTCTAATGCTGAAGGGTTCCCTAGGAATAAATGGCTTATACAATGACACTCCTGACTTACAAATATAAAAGGATGGTCTCTCAAGAAAAGAGATCACCTGCAAGGACAGAATCAGGATTAGGTAGGTCACGACTGTCTTGGTTCAAGTGAATTTGATCAACATAAAGAAGTGTCCTCTGTGAGGGGCAGCAGGTGGCCTTACAGAGAGGCCCCAGGACGACCCACTGAACTACAGCTGAAGCTACTGAAGGGTTGTCCCATCTCATTTCCTGCCAACAAGCCTAACAGACACCTGCTGAAGCAAGCACAGGGTGCAACCGGCCGAGAACATGCAGGGTGTGCAACTGCAGAGGCTACAGGACAAAGAACATTCTTGCCCATTCGTCAGCCATTGACCATTCTCTCTCTTTTTTTTTTTTTTTGGAGAGGTTTTCGCTATAGGATGCGTGCGCTTGCCAGACAGACAGAGAGAGACATAGAGACAGAAAGCGAGAAATCACCCCCCAGGGGGGATGGTCACGCCACAATCCCTTCTCCTCCATTCTCCTCTCGGGATCTTGGGCACGCACGCACACGCGCCCGGCGTGAGTTTTAAGCCACCGGGTCCTGGACGCGAACCGCGGTTGACTACGTGGGAGTCCAGCGACATAGCCATTATGCTAACTGCTGGTTCCCAGCCATTGACCCTTCTCTTAAGACATGCTCAGTACCACCCTGTATCCCGGAAGATTAGTGATGTGGACGCGACCCTCAGCAAGCTTGCCACCCCACACCATACAACGGTATAGTTATAATTTATATATTAGAAAAATAAATGCAAACACTGCTTACATGAATTCTAAACTACCCAATATGATCGCTTATTTATCTTTTTATGTGCATATTCATATTTAAGAAGAAAGCTTACAGAAATAAAATTTTCCTTTTGGTATTAAAAATCTATTTCAAAAAAAAAAAAAACAAACCTACATACTAACATATGTAGGTGAAAGAATATAGCTATGTTATATAAGGTTCTTTTTTTGAAAAAAGATTGACACAAATAACACTCCTAAAGAAGCAACAGCAGCATTTCAAACCAATTACTTACTGAAAATAGGAATGCAGCCAATTCTGTTTTTCAGCTGTCTGGATGCTGTAGGGAAGAGAACCCCCAGCTTGGAAAAGAAGAGAAATAAAATAAATGAAAATCATGAAATGTAATTTTAGGACACTTCGTTAAGGAGAAAATCTGTAATAAACAGCGAGAAGGTAAAAGAAAAAAATTACTGTCATTATTTCATCTTATGGATTCATTCTTTGAAAGAAAGAATTATATTAGTTACGTTCTCTCAGTGGATTTTCCTTTCTTAGGGATGAGAAAGATTTAAATAGCAAATATTTACCAAAAAGAGAAAGGGAAATTATTAATCACTTGGTGGTGATAATTTAACACATAGAACAACAGAGATTTGAAGGGTTAAAAAGCACACAGAAAGTTCTGGCCCCTCCTACTGTCTCTAAGCAGGTAAGACGTTTGACAGTCTCTGCTTCTTGCCCAAGAACACAACACCTGGGGAGGGAGTTTGGGGTGAGAATTCAGTTCTCCCATCTATTTCACTTGGACATTGCTGTTTGACAAAGAGAACAGACTGGAAAATATATTAAAATGTTCAGTAAATATTTGTTTTTAAAAAGGAATTCGTAAAGCCTTACTCTTGCAAAGAGAAAAAAGACAGTTTCAAGTGGAAATACCACTAGAAGCCAATGTTCGCTCATCTCTCAAAGTAAGAAAACTCCATTAGGGATTCATCAGTGACTTGCCAAACACATGTTGAACTTCACGAGTCTGTATCTAAAAAAGGCTTTCGACATCTCTGAAATATCAAATAAGGCATGTCTTGTCTCCTCTTACAAATAACTAAAAACACAATCAGTTTTGAAACCAGTTGTAAAATCGCTTTAGTGAAAATACCATTTTCCATTAAAATAATACTGTGAATGGGCCTGGCCTACCAGAAGTCGAGAGAGAAGACAGATGAAAAACCATGTCCCAGAATCTCACTGTTGCCATTAAAAAGTGGCAAATGGGATAATACACTCCAATCTTTTATCAAGATTTTTCTGACAGGGTCACATCTAGTTTGATAAACTGCAAAGATATCAAATTAGTCTAATTCAGTACATTCTGCTTTCAGTCATCAGCAAATAACAATCCCACATTGCCTTTTCCAGAGGCAGGTAGGATTTGGGTTTTGGGTAGAAACCTCCAGAATGAACTGTCTAGGGAACCGCTGGATCCCAAGTAACAGCTTAGTGCCCAGTACCGGTATAAGGGAAATAGAGGACAAGGCTGACAGATATCTACAAGATCATTCTAGGTATCTGCAGAGGAAGCCCTTGAAAGGACATATCAACTAAGTAATACAAAGGTAAGAGTAAGCAGGACCAGCAGTTAGCGTAATGGCTATGCCACTGAACTCCCATGTAGTCAACCGTGGTTCAAGATGTGGACCCAGTGGCTTTAACTCATGCCAAGTGCGTGTGCGTGCATGCGTGCATGCGTGCCCAAGATCCCGAGAGGAGAATGGAAGAGAAGGGATTGTGGTGTGGCCATCCCCCCCTGGGGGGTGATTTCTCGCTTTCTGTCTCTCTGTCTCTCTGGTGAGCGCATGCGCCCTGTAGCAAAAACCTCGAGTAAGCATATATTCCAGTTCTTAAGTCCATCTGTGTGAGTATATCCACAGATTTGGAAGAACTGTTAGTGCCTGGGACAGCAGCTGGGAGGATGTGGACAGAGGTGAGGGAGCGGATGCTCGCAGACATGCTTGAAGGAGGAGCTGAGTAGAGCAGGGGAGCAGACTGGAATTGCACGTGTCTAGACAGCTACCATGCTGGTTATCTTACTGGTAAAACTGAAGAGAGTAATAACTGTGCAGAGCATTACTGGAAACATTAAATAACCTCCCCAAAGTGCCCGACTGAGTGGTACCATCTCTGGAAGAAAGCAGAGCCTGGTATTACCCATTTTTAGGATCCCCATCCAGTTAAGCAAAAACTACCTTCATATTTCTTATTTTTTTAGGGTTTGGCCATAGAGCACATGTGCTCACCAGAGAGAGAGGCAGACGGAGAGAGGAAAAGCAAAAAGTCGTCCCCGAGGGAGACGGCCATGCTACAACTGCCTCTCCTCCATTCTCTGAGGATTTTGGGGACGCAAGCATATACACTCAGAGCAACCCTCAAGCCACCGGGGTCAGGGACTTGAACTGCAGTTGACAATGTGGTAGCCCAGCGTCTTAACCATCAAATCGTTTGCTGGCCCCCCTCCTAATTCCCAATACTTTCTAAACAAATTTCAAACCACACTGGTAAAAACATTTTACCAGAGTACTTATGAAATCTACATAAAACAGACAACAGAGACAGTCTCCCAGCAATTACCAGGATAGCCTTCTAAGCTGGTCCGCACATTCTCCACAGAAGGATAGATCTAAAAATGAACAAGAAAAACAATAAAACTGGGCATGGACCATGTTGGAGAAAAGTTGATTAAACTTGAAGAAAATTAAAATCTCCATTAAAAATATTTAAGCTACAGGAAGTGTGTGTGTGTGTGTGTGTGTGTGTGCATGCGCGCGCACAGACAGACGCACACACATAACGAATGAATGAGTAATATATATATAATGAAAAATGGCACTTCCAGTTGCTATTTCCTCCAAAGTGCCAAGTTAAAATTGAACTGAGTGCAGAATTAATTAATTCACAAGTCTCTAAATAATTAATAATACTTACAATTTTGTATGCCAACAGCATACGAAATACTATTTTTTCCCTGGCTTAACCTAAAAGGATGGAAGAAGCAGAGGCTGGTCTGTAGCTGAAGTAGAGCTCCTGAACAAACCAGCACGCTCTGAGCACTGGACGACACTGAGGCCACTCAATTACCTATAATGAGTTAATGCACTGCTCTCTCCATCCAAAAACCACAGAATGAAACATCTGTTATAAGCAAGGCTGGGTCTCAATTCTCCTGGACTCAACTCGCTCAGCGAGGAAGAGAACTCACCAAATGAAGAGGCACGGTGCTTTTTCCAGGAATCTTGCTATCCCTCCCCAGTGTCAGCAAGCTCTCTTTAAACTCAGAACATAACCATTTTGACTCATCAGCCCCCAAGAAGCCAATGCTTGAGAACTGACCCACCAGGGGCCAGGGCTCTGTTTTGGGTGTGGACGAGGCGTGTTCTCTCAGGAGCTGTGAAGGAAAAGAGGCACGCGCTCCAGTCACTCCAGTATCGTGAACGGAAATGCTGCAGAATCCGGAAACACGGTGCTCTGTCCCATTTTCTTGCTTTCACAAGGGAATGCTGACAATATTAATGATCAATGTCACACCCACATCTTCCCGCTCTTGGGAAATATTTTTAATATTTTTTTAAAGAGAAGGTGGACAAGAGAAGCTTTTCTTTCCAGAATTCTTCCATTTGTACTAAAAGCAAAACGGATGAAAAAAATTTAAAAAGACCCATTTTAGGGACCAGCAGTTAGCGTAATGGCTATGTTGCTGGACTCCCATGTAGTCAACTGCGGTTCGCGTCCCAGACCCGGTGGCTTAAACTCACGCCGGGTGCGTGTGTGTGCGTGCCCAAGATCCTGAGAGGAGAATGAAGGAGAAGGGATTGTGGTGTGGCCATCCCCCCCTGGGGGGTGATTTCTCGCTTTTTATCTCTCTGTCTCTCTCTGTCTGGTGAGCGCACGTGCCCTATA